TTCCCTCAAACCTTTCAACAAGCTTGGAAACTTCTGAAATACAGATTTCCTTTCCTTAGTGAATGACTTAATTTACATATTCTTTGACCTCTCCCAATGACCCTCCAGTTAGACACTTTTGTTCTCCATATCAGTCTCCTCATTGAGTAGAGATGTAGGGAGGAAAAGTGATGCAAATTTAGTCATTTTTTGTACTTTACCATTTTGGTAAAGTTAGGAACATCAGTGGTTTGGAAAATAGTCCTATGCAAGTTTCAGATGATAGATTGATTCTAATGCCCTTGCATGCAACCTGTTTCATTGTGTCCTTCCTTACTTTCACCTCCATTTCCCTTTTGTTCCCAGATATGTCTCAGACAGGGTTTACGATATAGAAAACAATGGGACCATTAAATACGATTCAGTTTGTAAGACAAAAAAATATTTACTCTAACAAATTTTATTGTAGTTGAGTATTTTAGTTTCATTTCTTTTGAAGTCAGATATTTATCCATTCAGAAGAAATTTCCTTTGTTTTTGTAAAATATTAATTCTCTATAGAAATCTGTTCTTCATCATATAACCAACAAGTGATTTTTTAGGTCTGCAAGTTCTCTCTGAATATAGTTATTAGAATAGTGAGTATAAGATGGATGCTTCCTCTTTTTCCTGAAAACTTTTTTTAGTATTTTGCTTTATAAAGCATTATTCTTTAAACAAGAATCTCCCATCACAAAGGATTCCTTGAATTTTTTTATGTTATGACTTGTTCATAACAAGCTGCTTGGGGAAAAAAAAGAAAGTTATTTTTTTCTTTTAAATCTTAGCTGAAGTTATGAGTAGTCACAAGAAGAGTTGTAGCATTCTGGAATTGTATTTAACAATTAAAAAGAAATGTCATTGGAGTGTTGCAGTCTTAAAAATAACATCAGGCATGGTTTTATGTTTCAGTTTACAGAATCCTCCAGGAAGCAAGGCATTCAGAGTATTTGCTGTTGTTTGAGTCTGGCAAGTAAAACGTAAAACAGGCAAGTGAAAACAGAACACTTGGAAGAGAACAATGAAGGCCATTTCTTATCTCTCCTAAAATTTGTATAAAGCTGTAACATTGTTGTACAGAAGATGTATACTGCTTTCCACCAAAAAGTTTAAATTACATATATATATATCTTAATGAAAAAAAATCTGTAAAAGTAAACATGGGAGAAAAATTCATTTGAAAATCTATAATGATATATAACAATATTTTGAATCCTGTGTTAAAAATTGCTATATTTTCTTAGCAGTTACTCCTATACAGTTAATTCATAGCTCATAAATGTCCTTTGTTTTCTTCATCTGAATATATTATTCTATGGTGCTTTTTATATGCCACTAACAATAACCTTGAAGTTATACCATAGGGAGGTCTGAGTTTTTATTTCCAATGTACATAAATGAAGCCATGCCAATAAGTCAATAAAATAAATCATGCCTTAAACTAAAATGAAAATACATATAACTTTTTGATGATTTGCAGTAGCATTAGCCATGCAAGCGTAAATGAAGAGATAGACTGTTTTCAATTTCACACTAATCATAACAAGTACAAATACCTATTTTGAAATAAAATGGAAAATATAAAATATGGGGAAGTCCTGAGTCATATTAGCATGTTTAGTGCAAAAATATTTTTATGAGACTGGGTCATTCATGTTTATTATTTCTTAAATACGTTAATAAATGTCTATTTGATGCTGCTAAGCTCTTTAGTTTGAATAAGGAATTCATTATAGCCCGGTCCTTCACAGATCTGTCTTGGAATGGGAAAGTGAGAGAGAGATATACATAACCTTGAAGGATCTGAGAAAATTTTCATCCTGAGAAGCAGAGTAACCTGAAATTAAGGAATAAGTCATCAGTTCTGCAGTGTGATTCTGCACATATACATGCTTTATTTGTGTAATTCCTTCAATTTACCTAAATTGGTTTTCAGCAAAGACGTAGAATTGTACACATAACATAAAAAAATTACAAGCTTGAGGCCTTAAGCTGTACATGGTATCCATATACTATACATTATGGTGAGGGTAAATGTTCAAAAAAAACAAAGGCTGATCTTGCTCCATATGACCTGGCAAATACTCCTGCAGGCCAGGAAGTATAGTGGTACGGAGCTCAGTGACTATTTTGTCATTTGTTGCTTCATCATTTTAAAAAATTCATTTATGGTGAACAGCGTTGTGCATTAATTTTACCATATTATGGTATATGAAGAACATGTAGTGGTGATACTTTGTTTCTTTCTATGAAAAGTGTATTGGTGCTTTAAAACTGAAAAGCTGTTAAACTTTATTTTTGGTATATTTTGTTTCTGTTGTTGAATTCATTTCCTTCAAACTTGTAAACTTACTCGTATTCTTCATATTTCAGAATACTATATTCTGCCTTCTGTTTTGCTACATGTACTTACTACCTCATATAGTTAGGCAAGCTTTGTTAGGTTTTTGACTCTGTTTTGAATAAAATTAATTTACATAGTAAGAGTACCTTTGACAGCCTTTATTTTTTAATTATTTGTTCTGCCTCAGTAAGGCAAAAGTAACAGCCACTCAAAATCTGCTTTTTCTGACCTGAACATTGCAAGTGTAGGACCAACCAGTAAACATAATCTGAGGCTCTAAAAGTTGTAAAGGCAATATAGGCACACAACTTCTATAGATTACATTGGGGGTTTCATGAATAAGTCTTCTGGTCACTTTTTCAAGTCCTGACCAGGGTCTTTGGGAACAGATTGCTATCTCATTTTAATGGAGAACTTTGTGTCATAAGTGATTCTAAAAAACCCACCACCTTTCCTGTCATCGTGTGCAAAAGTTCCTAGCTACATTCGTTGGGAACAAGCAGGATTTTATATTACACTTGCTTTTTTTGCTTCACAAGACTCATGGTTAGCTTGAGGGTTCCATGTGGGAAATCCGTTTAATTGATGAGTGAGGAAAGCAGTCCTTGATGTATAACCTGTTTTTTTGCAGGTTTTTTGCAGGGGGCCATTGAAAGAAGCTTTTTATAGGTTTGCAATACTGGCATTAACTGTTTTGCAGAACTGAAACCAAAGTGCAAGCAGACCTTGACTGCAATAGGAATCCAAGTCACTCAAAGGCTTGAGGTAGACTTGCACCTCCTTTCCTTAAAAGCACCTAAACAGTGACACAGAAAGGTCTTGCAATACCTACTGTTGGGATTGTCAGAACATAAAATGGAGTAAAGGCTGAGATTAAGGCCATGCAGAACTGCTGAGGGAGACATTTGAAGCAAAATGGTGTAATTGCAGCAGTAATGTCCCTTTCCACACAGACAAGACACTTTCTTGCATCCTGGCCTTGCCATCCAGCAGCTCTCCATGTCACTTGCCTGGCCCATGGTCCAGCGGTTGCCTCAGTAGCCCATAGGAAGCCTGTAAGGTGCTGCAGAGCCTGGCTCTGATGACCAGGCAGTAGGGTGAACCCCTTTCTTTGGACAGGGCAGAGCCTGGGATGAAGGAAAGACCAAGACAGTCACACCTTCAGTCATAACCACAGCTTGCCCACTTTTGGTAGGTGGGTGAGTGAAGTCCCATGTGGAAAGAGTTGCTGCACAAAATTCTCGTCTTATTCCTACTTTTGTTCCTGGTACCTTTTTTGTTCTGTATATCTTTGCTCCCTCTCCTCTCTTATCTGTAAAGTCCAGCCTACATTTGCTGTGAGTTCCTGTGCAAGGGGGCAGGCATGGATCCTTGATGCTGTAACAACCAAGTTAGTGCTTTTTGGGAGGAAAAGTAGGGGCTAACACCAATGTGTGTGGATGGTTGGTGTGAGCAGCTCTACTAAGCAACATATTGACAAGAATAAAGGGAGGTAAGCAATTCTTTCTCTTCACATCTGTTGTACAAATTTTGGACTCCTGTTGCTTTTCCACATGCAATGATTCTATTCCTTATAATATAAATATTCCAGTCAGCATCAGCTTTTTGAGAAATTCTCTCATGTATTTACTGTAAGTAATGAGTCAATAAGTTGACATTTCCAAGCAGTTGTAGACTGGGACCTACACACTGGTATTTTTGCAACTATATGCCAGATGGTCAAAACTAATTCACACAAAGCCCAGATGAGTAACTTGCACTCATTTGCAGTATCAGAAAACTTGTTGAAGCCTAATGAAAAAATTTAGCAGAAAATAAACTTTTGAATGCTGAAGAATCATTTAGTTAACTGAGCAGTTACAAAATTATGCTCTTGACTTGAAAATTAAAAAAAAAAGGATAATGAAAAAGTAAAGCTGAAAGGGCTAAAATATCAAGGAATGTAAACCCACTGAATACAGTAGCTCCTTAAAAGCTTGTGTGAAGCAGGGAAGAGTACATATGAACCTTTGCCCATAATTTCATGATATTTCCCATTATGACCTGCTTCATGAGAAATCTTTTCAAGAGAAAAGCATAGGAATCATTTGGAAAGGAGTCAAATATTTGGCAAGCATAGTTCACTTGCCTGGTGAGCTTTTCAGTAAGGAGGCACACCTCTGCTATGCTGCATCTCTTCCAGCTGGAGGGAACTTGGGATGCATACTCATGGCAACAGAAGACTTGTAGGTCTAGCTGGAACTTTGGAAACCAAGAAACATTTCCTAAACTCTGTGGATACTGAGTTTTGCGGTGTTTACAGACTTCTTTGTGTCTGATTTCTGCATAGGGAACTGACTGATCTAGAAATTATACATGAAGTGTGTTTGGAAGCAAGCCTGAAACACAGGTTGGGATAATGTGTGTGAGTTCAAAGCCTTTTAACTGATGTAGTACTCAGTTTCAAGTTTTATGTAAATATCTAGATTGTCAGCTGTCTATAGATTCTTAGCGAATTTAAAGTAGAAAAGGAACATCAGCTTTTTTGTGTATTCGTACATTTGCTCAGAAAAATGCATGGCACTTTACTTCAAATGGCAGAGATGTAACCAAGTTACTAACATAAACAGTGTCTTCTGTGTGGCAATTGCTTTTGAAGTATGTTTTGAATTTGCTTAAAACTCAGATAACCCAGCTTCCTGCAAATACACAAAGGAAGGTTTATTTCCTTTAGTCGTACAAAGGGTCAGATTCAGAACTGTAAATATTTGGAAGTTACAAAGATTATTCATACAGTGCAATATTCTGTTTGGAAATTTATGTAAGTACTGTATGAAATACTGTACTGTCACACTTCGATGTCTTAAGGCTTTTTATAGTGTCTGTGGAACTCTAGGGAATTATACAAGGAATGAAAAGCCTGAAGAGTTTTGTTTCATTCAGTGTATAATATGCATCTTACAGAGCTTTAGATATACAAATGATAGCATACTTCAGTATTCAGAAAATTGCATGTGACTTTATAAAGGCATACATTGTGCATATGGGAAAAGAAGCCATGCTGTCAGCCTTAGCTTTAGCCTGCCTATGTTGTCAGGAATAAATGATGGAACTAGTATAATACTGATATTATTGTTATTAAATAGCCCCTTGTTATCTACTAGGGCGCAACGAAAATACAATAAAATGTGATTCCTGCTCCATGTTAACATAGGATGATAACGTGACACTTGAAATTTGCCATCAGCTGTTCAGTGATCTGTGTTAAACATCTTGTTTGTCTTAGCCTGTTTGCTAGGAGACAGATGCCTACGTCAATAAGTCATCATAGCACTTTGTAAAAAGTACTAATAGCAAAAGGCCCCCAGTTGGACTAACTCAGTATAATAAGGCACATGAATAACTGACTGAAGGAGGAAAGTAAAGAAAATGCCAAACAGTAAAGAAAATGCCAAACATGGATATCCACTATCCACCATGTCTTGTCTATGTCATGTCATACTATCTGCATTGGTTTCTGCAATAATTAACCTAGTTATTCAATTTAGTATCAGCCCCCAGTGCTGTATGCAATATTGGTTTTGTTTGTACTAACAATGGGGTGAGTGTTTTGAAGGCTAGCAGCAAAGTTGTTGGTTAAGAACTGAGATACACTGGCCAAACAAGATGACTATGTATGCAAGACTGTATCTTTTAATAGGCAGAAATAAGGACTTCAGTTGCCAATGGCAATAATTCTTGGTCCTATAATTCCCTTATTTCATTTAAAGCATAAGCCTTAAAACAAAATAAAAATGTCAGCACATGCTAACTGTTCGGTATGAAATTCGGTTGTTCGAAATCCCATTTATTTCAGCTGAACAGAAATTGCTGTAGCTAACACCAGCAGTATTAGCAATAATCTCCTTGAAATTTTATTTATGCAGTTCAGTGAGCTTTATTTGATGTGTTTGCAGTTATTTCTGCAGGAATGTTTTTTATAAGACAAAATCCGTATTAGGAGTATCATCTTAGAATAAATACAAGAACTTGCATTAGGTTTGCTTGCGTATCTTTTTGCAACTACTTCCAAAGGCTGAGAGACTGCTAAAAATTTGTAGTACTACTAATTACTTTTAGGGTGCTCAGGAAACAAGAAGTGCAGGGAGGTAGTAATACTTCCAGACTTAACCTACATTTTGAAAAACAAGTACTTCAGTTGCTTAATTATTCACTTAGGCTTGTTTATATGCAATGTAAATAGCGAGC